AATATATATATATATATATATATATATATATATATATATATATAAATGAATAAAACAGCAAGCTTTTTAAATGGTCTCAAAGGGACATTTAAATTATGATGGAAGGCATAGGTTTGGTCTCAGAGATATTGAGAGTCATTGAAGGCTTTTAGTTATCAGAGTGATAATTTCAAAGTATATCCCCAGTAATAACATGAAAATGGATATAAGAGGTAGAACAAGGATTGAAACTGGAGACAGAGAAAACAAATACAGAAGTCAGGAGAGAAACAAAGATATGCACCAAAACAATACCCTTAACGTTTGAGCAGGACAAGGATTTGAGAAATATTTAGGAAGCAGAACTGATGAGACCTGGTGATGAAATGAATATTGTACCGGAAAGGGAAGAGCTAAGGAGAATTGCCCAGTCTCTGACTTAGGCTACTTAAGAAATGATGGCACTATCAACAAAATAGAGAATACGAGAAGCAGAGGACACCAGCAAGAGTAATTGCCTTTGGGTCTGAGGTGCTGATGAGGTCTATGTCTGGAGAAACATGCCATATATAGCTCTGCATGTGACTGGGAGGGTCCAAAATATACATATAACCAGAACTTAACATCTCCAAGACCAACTGTAAAAATAATACATGAGGTAGGACCCCAAGATAATGACTGGTGATCCAGGCCCAGTTTAAGTTGCCAGATTGGGAAAGAAAACAGGACAAGGGCTGGCTGGTTAGCTCACTTGGTTAGAGCATGGTGCAGATAACACCAAGGTCAAGGGTTTGGATCCCTGCACCAGCCAGCCACCAAAAAAAAAGAAAAAGACAGGAAAAAGGATGAGAGGTACAGGCTTTGGAATAGAAGCAAAGCTGGGCTGTCACCTCTCCTCGGCCACTTAGCAGCAGAGTTACTTAAGTTCCCTGAGTCTCTGTTTCCCCGTCCGTAAAATAATATATGACAATAACTACTTTAGGAGTGGTGGTGAGAATGATTTGACATAATATGTATAAAGTGTCTGGCACTTAACAGGAGTTCAATACGTTTTTGAACATGGAGGTAAGCCCTCTCAGAAGACCATTCTAGAACCTCAAGACTACTCCTCCCTGACAGCAATTGAATATGCTCCTCATCTCCTCATACCCATGGAAGCCTTGGCTCCAGTGGGTGTGTCTGTTCTTCCAGAGCAGGGCAAGGAGCCCCCACCTTGTGTAGGCAGTTCTCTGTCTGACCATGGCTTGACTGTTCTCAAGCTGTACCTGTGGTGTTGAAGGGTCCCTGCAGGGTCTGCACGAGGGCATGGATCTCAGGCACACTGTCTGGCAGGGCTTGTCCAGTGAAGAGGGGGTTGATGTTGGCAGCTTTATGACCATGCTCACAATAGACTGTCACCAACCTGGCAAGGCCATGATCGACTAAATCCGGGGGAAAGAAAACCATATAAACAGTTTAGGAGATGCCCACAAACCGCAAAAATCAGCTTTTCAAAGAAGATATCACAGTCTTAGACATTTTAAATGCACTGCCCCTACACACATTTGCCCAGCAATTTTCAGGATTATAGACTACTAGTATCCAGGTAAACACACTTATTTCCTTAAATTTATCCCATGATAGCTAAAGTCAGTGTGGGGGGTAGGGGTATAGAACTATGAGTGCATGTTTACAGAAATAATTATGCACACAGATAAATATTAGATGGAAACACCCCAAATTGAAAATAACTGTTATAATGATGAGATTATAGATAACTGGAGTCCTCTTTTTCTCCTAGTTATTTGATATATTTTTAGATCTTATATCTTACATAAAAAATAGAGATAGGTAAAATTACAAAATCAATGTTACAATCCCTCCTCATTTCTTCAAGACCCCGTTGTACCTAGTTATTTCATAAAATCTTAGACTAGGAAAAGACCTTAGAAATTATCTTGTCACTCACATAATTGAAAAAAAAAAATCCTATTATAAAGCCCTAGATAAGTGATTGCTTGGCCTCCACTTAAAGGGAAGCCATTATCTTTCGATGCACTTAATTCTTAGACTTTTTTTTTTTTAAATTTGGACAGCTGGCCAATATGTAGATCTACACCCTTGACCTTGGTGTTATCAGCACCATGCTCTAATCAAGTGAGCTATCCGTGCAGCCAGTATCTTAGACTATTTTATAAATCTACTTTTCTTCCCTTTCCCACATGAAAGTCCTAAAATTTGTAAAAATCCTTCATGCCCACACTCAATCTTCAGTCCATGAAGGTATTCTTACACAAACTGACCACAAACCCCTAAAAATCAGCAGATCTATTATTGAGGGCACACATTAGTCATATAAATTGCTAAGGGTTCTATTCTGAACTTTATGTAAGTTCTCATTGGCTATTATATGAAGTAGAAAACCTTCATATTTATGGCTAAAATCCAGATGGACTGTCTAAAGCCCTGTTGGGCACTCCTTTTATTTTATTTTATTTGCGGCTGGCTGATATGGGGATCTGATTCAGTGACCTTGAGGTTATAAGGCTGTGGCCACTCTTTTTAAGAACACCTTCCCTGGGCGCTACAGCATTGCAAGATCCTGGTTTCCTTCCTAACTCACTGGCTCCTCAACCTCCATCACTTTTGGGGGGCTCCTCCTTTTGGCCCATCTCTAGAATACTGGCACTCCTCAGCTCTGTCTAGGGCCTTCTTGATCCATTTTCTCTCTGAGATCTCCACTTTCCACGGCTTCCATCATCATCTACTAAACTACATATTTAGTGGCATAAGAACAATAGCAAAAAGAAAAAACAAGGGGGCGATGGAGAACAATTGCAAATCTTCAGGTTTATCACCATTCCCATAGCAAGCCCTGTTGAGAATGTTCTTCTGGTGAACCACATCACCTCCTAGAGATCACTGCTTCTATTTCTGACCGCTCAATAGCAAGGCTTTTAACGACATGCCAGAATATCAACATGAGAGTTGGCACAAAAGGATGCTGCTCACCCCAAAGAACATGTGGCATCTCCCACTCCCACCTCTGGGCACCTCCAACATCCATCCCGGCAGTTCATTTGCCTCAGACCCTCATTTCAGTGTTTGGGTTTCTTCTACCAGACCCAGTCTCATACAGATCCCCTCCCTCTCTGCCTCCCAGCTCCCTCCATCGCAACCTCTGGAACTCTGTTGCATGATTAAGAAAACTTCCTACATTCTTTTATTTATTTATTTATTTATTTATTGGTGGCTGCTTGGTTTGGGGATCTGAACTCGTGATCTTGGTGTTATAACACCGTAGCTCTAGCCAACTGAACTAACCAGCCAGCTCCTCCCTACATTCATACCTTCTTCCTTCTCTTCCCTGAACATTCCTTACACTCCTGGCCTTAACTGGAACCCAGCTTTCCCCAAAGGACATGAGTGGAAGGTAAGGCTACTCAGTCGCCCACACCCACACCCCTCCTCATTCTTCAGTGACATTTCCCTAACTCCTTGTAAACCCTAGGTCTCAGGGCTGGCCCGTGGCTCACTCGGGAGAGTGTGGTGCTGATAACACCAAGGCCATGGGTTCAGATCCCTATATAGGGATGGCTGGTTAGCTCACCTGGGAGAGCATGGTGCTGACAACACCAAGTCAAGGGTTAAGAGCCCCTTACTGGTCATGTTTTTTAAAAACAAACAAACAAACAAACAAACAAAAAACACCCTAGGTCTCTAAGGGTTATGCTACAGTGTTGTTAACTAATCTCCATTTGCCAATAGTCATTACAAAATAATGTTGTAGAAGAATGATTAATGAAAAAGACTATAAGACAGTAGACATAGCACAAGCCTACTTTTGGTTAAAAGGTGTGTACAAATGTGTGGGATATAATATATATTTCATCATATAGTACATATGGCATAATATTAGTATATATACAGTTCATGTGTATATATTATATATATATATTTTATAGAGAGAAAGGAAATAGATCAAAAACTTAATAGTGATAATATAAAGTCCTGATTTGTTTCTTTTTGCTTATTTACTTTTCAGGTTTTTCACAGTGACATGTACAGTACAGCTCTTCCAATTGCGGCCATCTAGCTGACCTGCTGCCCACCATGCTCTGAAAGCTTTTGGTTAGTGGGTTCTCTCCAGTAGCATGTCTGCCCTCACCAGTTGCCTACATGCCTGTAAGAATCAGTTATATTTGTTCTTAAGCCTGTTACCACGGGGAAAAGTAAAATATTGGGGGAGAAATCAGAAAAATCTAGAAAGATTTTGCACTCACGTTGCTTTCATAAACTCTCTTCATTTTAATGACTTGCATATACAAATACAAAAATAAATTAATTAAAATAATTAAAGCATCTCTTATTTCTTTATGATATTCCTTGATTTACTGACTTTTTTTTTTTAATGAACTGACCAATTCCAGTTTCAAATGCACTGGATAAAAGTGCTTCTGCTGTATTACTTTCATAGCAAAAGAATGAATTTAAAAGATTTAAAAGGATAAGAGCACAGAAATAGAATGCATACATGCTTCATTAAAAAATTCTTACGGGCCGGCCCAGTGGCGCACTCGGTAGAGTGCGGCGCTTGGGAGCGCGGCGGCGCTCCCACCGAGGGTTTGGATCCCATGTAGAGACCGGTCCGCTCACTGGTTGAGTGCGGTGCGGGCGCGACACCGAAGGTTGCGATCCCGTTATCGGTCACGAAAAAAGACAAAAAGGAAAAAAAAAATTCTTACTACTGTATAAATCAAAGGATTACTGTAAAAGGAAAATAAATACCTTTATGTTAGTCATAACACTGCCCAAACAACTTAGTGCTCGTGATATGTTCAAAAGGTCACGGGCATTTAATTTGATTTTTAA